TGTTAATCAAAGAAAAAACAAATATGCATTTCTCTTATACTCTTTGAACGAATCGAGTGAGGATTCATATAACCACGCGATATATGTTGAAAGATTAGAGAGAAATGAAAGAGGAAAGGAAACATAAAGCTTTTCTTTGCTCGATAATTAGCAAACTTTTTCTCGAAAAAATTTGCCTTTTTTCTGGTCCTTAATCTCGAGCACTAATTACAAATTTGTTAGTAAATTTTCTAGCTATACGAGAAAATATGTCAACATCTATTTTCTCAACATCTGATTGAATTTAATTTTTTTTGTTCATGTAATTAATTCATTTTGATAAAATAAATCTTGATCTTTTTCATATCAACTAAGCTTATAAAATGAGTTGTTCGACCGTGTGAAGTGCGAGCAAATTAACTAGTATTTAAAATAACCAATGGATATCTTTTGCACTTCAAAAATAATTTCCAAGCTTTTGCTTAATTGATTGAGTTACGAAAGAGTTTCTTTTCCTATTCACAACGCAAAAGGATATTGTTTCAGGCTTGAAAATGAAGCTGAAGATCTGGTGAACCGTTACTTGATTCATGGGCATCACAAGGCAAAAAAGGTAATTTTTCTAATCAATTTTCAGTATAATTCTGTTTGTTCCCTTGAAGCTTGACAATAACTTATTACCTGCAATATAATTTTATAATAGCTTAACCTGTCTATATAAGCTCGTAATATGCTTCAAGCAAAGATCAATAACAATAGCTTAAGAATCATACATATTCATAGTGAAGTGACCATGAAATCGCCTGTTGCTCTTATCCTGCTCTTTTCACTTGCCCTTGTAAGTTTTCACAGATGATTAATATATTCTAGGCATCCTTTTTGGTAGTTTATTATTAATTACTTTCTTGGTGCACTATAGTGCCGTGTATTATTTATTGGTCATTATTTCTGCCTTTCATCTATTCACTGGTTCTTATGTTGTGTTATTATTTCCATGATGGTACTAATATAAAAAAATGAATACTTTTAGTATAAAACCAGAGTTTTCCTAAAACAATTGCCTCAAAGAAAAGAAGTTTTTCAAAATTATAATCCATTAATAATACCTAAGGTCAACAATATCTCAAAAAATTTAAATAGGTTGGCTATATTATCAATTGAAAATGAATTATTAGAGGAAATCGATTATAAAAAAAATTATTAACAACTTTGCATCTCAAAAAGCTAGAAAAATGAACTTCAATAAAAATATATATCGTAACTTTCTTTTAAAAAGCTAGGCCTCACATTAAACTTTGGGTTTAGGTCACATACGTGTTTGAGCAGTCCCTGGTGTTGTTATAAAAATCTTATTAAAAGTAACATTGGAATCCTAAAACTAAAAAAGTTTCCTTATTAGAAATGGGTTCATACTGAATCAAAAGAAGATAGGTTCATGTAAAACTGAGACGGATGGAATAGTATGTATTTTCGACTGCCTAAAAAGAATGCTTGCTTCTTGAGCATAATTAACAATTGATTTTTGCACAAACCTAGCCGTTTAAGCCATCTAGCTAGTGAGAGGTTTAACCTATTTAAACGGATCATTCATTTGTCTTGGCGTATCCCTATAGAACATGTGTAAATAAGAATAGATATTTTCTGCAAGTTACTCTTCAAAATGTACTAGAATTTTACATAAAACTCTATTTGCCAATACTAAATATTTACATGCCCGGTACCTACAGAGGTAGATCCAACATTAGAATTATGTGGGTTCTCGATTTTAGGACGATCTCAAGTTTTAATAATTGAGTTATGAATTTAATTTATGTATATACTTAGTGAATTTCTTGATACATACATAGAATTTCTTGGCAAACATTACTGGAATCTGCCGTACCCATATATTAAAGCCTACAATTGCCCCTACAAGTACCAAATATTTGCGCATATTAGTATATATAGATTATGTACTCGAACGTAAAGAAGTTCATATAGCTAGCATATCTTCGAAAGTCTTCTAATGGTCTCTCTCTCGGGCAGTACACAAGCAGCACTGATGCAAGAAAAGACCGCGGAGAATACTGGAGAGCTGTGATGAAAGATGAGCCAATGCCTGAAGCAATCAAACATCTTATGCCTCAACATTCAGTTCCTCTCTCCAAAGAGAGAACTGATTGTTATACATCATCTTCTCTTGAAAGTGAAGCCTTTGAACCAAAGCCTATTCTATCTGTCTATTACGACGATACCAAGCTGAAAGAAGCTGAGAAATCATTATTTACGAAAGATTTCGAGCCAAGGCCTAGTGCAACTGGTTATCATAAAGATGCCGCTGGTCTTAAACAAGAAAAGTCCTTTGCCGAAGATTTTGAGCCTAGGCCAAATGTTTCGGTGTACCATGATTGATGTTTCATATAATGAGTACTCTGTATTTCCCGCTTTTATGAATTTACATTTTGTATGGCTCTTAATATTAAGTAACTTATGAAATAAAGATTTGTAACCATACTTGATGGTTGTACTGAAGTTTTTCTTAACTTTATTATGTGTTCTAAGCATTGATTCGATATGCTCGGCTTCTTTTTAGCTGGTTTGCTTACAACATTTCGTGGCGTACTTAATATGAGTGATCACTCAACTTTTACTTTATTACTCAAAGGTATTATTTAATCACTCAACTTCACCTAAATATGACGGTATTATTTAATTCTCAACTTCACCTAAATATGACGAACGTAAATGAACTATTTTCTGTAACCAAAAAACCACTCAACTCTTCCTAGATATCACATAAAGTCTCGACGGGCACTTCGATTCTCGAACTTGATACCTTGTCTTCGTGCTCTGGCTTGATCCATTACGGGTCTGATCCTCGATGTTATTCCGTGGTCTCGATTTACTGGCAAAATCGGGCAAGGATGATTTTAAACGTATGCAAACATTATTATTTCGATTGCACTCGAAGACTTGTCATATTTTGAAAACGATTAATAATCACATCATTAGGTACGCTTCAAATATGTCTTCCTCTATATAACAAACTAAACATCCATTCAAAAAATCATCACCAATCCTGCTTCGCATGTCATTTATATTAAACTTCATTGAAGGAAAAGACCTTTCTACCGTTGCAGTAGTCACAGGTAATATCAAACTTAACTTCACAAGCAAATAAACATGTCACGACCCCAAACCCGGTCGTGATGGCGCCCAACAATATTGCTAGGCAAGCCTGACCACAATCGTTCCCAAATTAACCGTAAACCTCAAAACCGACAATCTAAAGAGATTATAATAGTTTTAGAATAATAATCCAATATTTATAATAGAATAATACTAAGAAAAATACGAAGGCTGATAAAACACTCCCAAAAGATCTGGGGTCACGAGTCTAGAGCCTCTAAAACAATCTGAATAACAATATCT